ACAGTAATCCTAAAATTCCATCCCACTGCTGTGCTGACTCTGGAGGATGGCTCGGTTGTGGAGGGGAGAGATGGGGCCGCTGGCGGTGCCCCTGGAACGCTGCTGCTGCTGCCTGGTGCTGCGGGCCGGCGAGGAGCGCAGGGTTACGGGTAGCCGTACTGGTCGGCGATGGCCATGTCTATCTCCCGCTGCACCAGGAACTGCACGGGGCCGATCTTCATCTGCTGGGCCGCCCGCTGCCGCTCTTCCTGGGCCAGCTTCTTCATGCGCTCCCTCTCAGGCCGCTGCTCGGCTGTGATGGGCAGCGACTCCTCCATCACTAAGGGTATTACACCGCCACCCGCCTGCGGCGCCACGCAGGGCACAAAGTCCACGGGGCGCCACGGCCGAGGCTGCTGCTGGGGCAGCGCTGGTGGTGGTGGTGGTGGTGGGTCCCTCTGCAGTGCCGAGCTCCTCTGCGGGGACGGGCGCGGGCAGCTCGGTGGTGCCTCCTTGGCAGCTCCCTCCTCCTGCACCATGCTGCCTGGAGCTGTCGGCTCTGCCTTGAGCGCATGGCTGTCCTGGGGCTGGAGGGCAGCAGGGCCAGCGCTGGCTGAGGGTTGGGGCTGCACAGAGGGTGGCTGGCGCACCGGGCCCACTGCAGTCACCCTCTGCCCCAGCGGGTGCACGGCCTGGATGCAGTCCTGCAGGTGTTTGCGCAGCTCGCTGGCAGTGCCTGCTTGGCTGCCGCTGGCTCCTGCGCCGGCCCCAGGCAGCCTCCGTTGGCACGGCTGTTTGCGGCCTTTTCTCTGCGTTCCTTCCCTGCAGGGTGGCAGCTTCCTTTTCTTGGCAGGAGCGCTGCTGGTGGGCTGCTCCTGCTGGGAGCTCTCCCCTTCCTGGGGGGTGCCGGCAGGCGCAGGGCGCTTGGCCCCCCGCTTGGTGCTGCCCCTGTTCTTCTTGTCTGCCACCCAGCTGGGGACAGAGCCTGGTGACGGGGGCGAGTGAGCCTGAGCCTCCTGGGGCTGCCTTTGCTGCACCTCCTCGGTGGGCTGTGCGGTTTGCACTGAGGGAGGTGCGCTGACGGCCAGGGTGGTCGGCCGTGGGCTGAGCCGGGCGCTCGCTGGTGGCACGACGGGGCGCTGCTCCGACAGCCCGCACTGCAGCTCAGCCAGGAACCCGGGGGATGGAGGAAGCCCCCAGAAGGGGTCGGTGGGCGTCCCGGTGGCAGCCTGTGTGCTGAGCTCTCTGCTGTCCCCGGGGTTGGCAGGGAGCTCAGCGATCAAACATCCGGGGGCAGGGCTGCTGGGGTTCTCGTGGGGGACCTCAGCAGCTCTTGCCACGTCTGAAAATGCAAAAACATCCCCCAAATGGCCATGAGAGCCTTCTCACACCCACTGTGCAAACACACACCTGCAGCTCTGCAGCCCCAAACTCACCATTGATCCAAGAGAGCAAACCCTGGATGTCCGTGATGTCCTCCGGCACATCCGAGCTGCTCGCCACTGCTGGGAACAGCAAGAAAAAATGCCAAAGAGTCAATGCCAGCTCTCCTGTACCACGTTCACAGCAAGGGACCTTGGGTGAACGTTGGGTTCCCATTGTAAATCAGGACAGGAGAGGTAACTGTAAATCCCAGGGATTAAAACCCCAAGCAACACGCAGTGAGAACAGTCCCAGGAAAGAACAGGCAGAAAGCCTAACTAGAAAGACAGTGCACCAAACCCAGATGCCTGCTGTGTGTCTGTACCTCTCTTGGGTGCTGTGCCACACTCCTGGCTTTCCACATGGCTGCGCTTCAGGGGAAGGCCACTGGCATCAGCTTCTGACAGAAGGGAGACAAGAAAGACATGAAGAGCATCTCTTTGGAGGAAGATTTCAGCACTGCCCACCACAAACTTCTGGTCTTCAGCAGCAGCTTTGTCAATTTGCTTTTCTGCTGCTACAGCCTTGTGCCACTTCTGCAGTCAGCACAGATCTGCAGTCCCTTCCTCTCCCCTCCATCACACGCAGCCCTTCATGCAGCCCTGTTTAGAGGCAGTGCCCACACCGCAGCTCACAGGAGCTTCTTACCTGCGGAGGCTTTCCGTTTCCCCCCTTGCCCCGCACCGTTCCACAGATGCACAGGTTTTGTCCCTACAACAACAGATCGTGTGTTGATTTCACAGACACCAGCAGGCAGCACAAGTATTGTCCAGTAAGCCCATGTCCCCCCAGAAAACAGAAAGGTGCTATTTGACAGCTCAAACACAACTGATAGTTCACTTCTCACTGCCCCTTCCTGCACTCCACATGGATGCTTACTTGACATCGCCTGCAGCACTGCAATCTTCAGCTGCCTAGATTCCTGAGTTCTCCTTTTGGAGAGGAACCTACAGAAAGCATCAACAAGGGAAAAACCATGAGGAAGAAGCATTTTCCCAGCTTTCTTCTGCCATGCAATGTCGTCTCTTGAGGAAGGCAATGCTTGGAAATCAGCTGGCTGCAAGAACTGCCTGCCCATCACTGGCTGCAGCTGGGGTCTGACTGCCATGGCTTCTGTCAGCAAGTGCCCCCAGGTCCCCTTTTCCCCCACAGGTGTGCTGACCGCCCATGTCCCCAGCTGAGCACCTGGCTCTCTGCCGTGACTTCAGCGCGGTTTGCTGAAGCACCTGCTGGGTATGGCACACCAAACAACCCACGGAGCAGGGAGGCACAAGTTGCACCCTATGAAGTCTGCGCTCTGCTTCCTTTTGCAGGTCTGACATGAAGGTGGGGGCCCGGCAGCAATTTCCCGGGGGAGGAATGCCTTTTCGTCATCCTCACTGAAACGTGGGATGCAATCTGAACAAGAACCCATTTTCCCTGGATACAGCCATTCAGAAGGGCACCGTTGGACCTGGGAGCTCCTCCCCAGCCCAGCTTTCCTGCTGATATCTCCCGGCACCCAGCCAGCACCAAACCCAGCTCACCTGGTCAGCCTGCTCAGCCGGAGCGGTGCCCAGCTGACGCACACGCCGCAGCGCTGCTCCCAGTGGGCTCTCAAAGGACGATCCCTCAAGAAAAGCACAGAGCTCAGTCTCGGTGTGCACCACGCTCACCAGAGCAACAGCTCTCTGCTCTCCAGCGGTGGCACAAACGCTTCCAGCCCAGCAACCATTGTGCCCTCAGCGAGTGCCTGCATCACCGCTGTGCTTGCATCATAAGCGAAGGAAATGGACGCCTCCCAGATCCAAATTATAGGAAACCTGGGACTCACCCAATGGGTTGAATGGGGTTAATTGAATGGGGGTTACTTGAAGTAAAGCAACAGAGAA